GCTGTGCCTGCCACGAAATCTGCACATGGAGGTTCACAAAGTGCTGCGCCTGCCACGAAATCTGCACTTCAAGAGACAAGTGAAAACCTAATCACAATGGACGGCCGACCGAGCATGGCCCGAGACCGTCTCGCAACAGTCGTTCCGCAGAGCTAGACTTGCCAGGTTCGAAGCCACCGGTTCTATTGAAAAATACAGCATTTCGTGCGTGCGCTATCTCTCGAAAACGCATTTTGTATTGCACCTGCCACGAAATCTGCACATGGAGGTTCACAAATTGCTGCACCTGCCACGAAATCTGATGAGTGGTGTATGATGAGTGGTGGTTGAACAGCTGTTGAATGTCCGTAACACGGAAGTTCCTTCTAAACTTCCTTTGATTAATCAGGGGTCTCATGGATTCGACGGGTGTCTGTGTGTGTGTGTTACTAATCAAGAGTCTACATTATACAGAAAACCGTGGGAATCATTGAAACTAAGTCAAAATCACTTACAACTCCCTCTAGCACCTTTGAGTGAATCGACGCCGAATGCACTGACACATCCGGCCACGGAACCGTGAAGTTTCCCCTGTGTGGTCCAAACGCGGCCCATGATCTGCTATGAATAAAACATGGTTGGTGGTGCTGTTGTCAAAGTTGGATCAGAGAGGACATCTCTCTCTCTCTCTCTCGATCGCCCTCTGTTTCTTTGACTCTTTAAAGGCTTCCAGAAATGAAAGGGAGATCGTTGAGCATTCTGCATGTCCCACGGCATCAAAAAACAGTATAACAACAACACTCCGAATAACCACATATTATGGCTTGAACTGGCGACTGGTCGCATGCAGGTGTTGGATGGTGTTGGCTGGCTGTCCTGTGAAAATCTTCTTGCGCAAGCAGCCACTCGTGTAGAGGACTTGGGTCCGAATCGAGCTGCAGCAGCCAATCCCCTCAAAACAATCCGCGGGCTTCGGTGATTTCACTGTGCAAGGACTGCTTTGCTGAAGAGACAAACGATGAAAACAGGGGCTACTGCAACCTTTGTTCCAGTCGTCGGACTGAAAAGTATGTGCTGCCACGAAGTTTTGGCCTCTCAACTACGAAAGAAGGCAAGGGTAAATGCACTTAGATCTTTGGAAAGCAAGCTGCCCAGTAACTAAGGAAGGCAAGCTCACTGAAAGAAGGCAAGCTACCCAGCAACTAACCTCATTTGGAGTGGGAGATTGTTCAGGCTGCTCTGCCCAGCAGTGGGTCATGTCTTCCACTGCAGGTCAATGGTAGAGGGATGTAGAGGGAAGCCGCTGAAGCTGTTTATTCCAATTGCCTCAACTTGATGAGCGACAGCAAAGCAAGGGGGGCATGGTCAACCTTAGCGACATGTCCACTTGATTTCGAGGATGCCGGCACACCCCACGAAAGCAATTGTTTTGCCACGGCAAGGGCTCTTTCTTTGGCGACCATTTCATCCAAGCGTCGGCTCCTCTCGGCTAACTTGCGCCCCCGATCGTCAGGCCAAATGGATAAGCTCTGGCTCTCCTTGCAGGACCAAGCGCCAAAACATGCAAAAACTATTGAGACTGGCAGACTGGCAGACTCCTCAGTGGAAACAGATTTCCATAACACCACCTTCCACTAGAGTCACTAGATGGGCAAAGCCACCTGTAGCATCCTTGTAGCGATGAACATGTGTTGAGAATCATGTCTAAAAAGTCAGTCGATTACAGTATCTATTGAGATCTATTGAGTGGCTTTTGGAGTGAGTTCTAAGGCTAACTATTTCCCATGGTTCTCTGGAATCTCTGGCTCGTTTTTCTTGATCCCTTGGCCACCTTGGACCTTGACCTCGGACCAAAGCACCCAGAGGGCCAAAGAGTCAACTTGAGTGTCCACAAGCGTCCTCACCTTCAAGCTTCTAACCACCTGGATCCCCAACAGGTCTACCGCTTTACCGAACGCACTGCACGAGCAGTCTGGCTTTCTCCTGCAGCAAGTGTGGCGAAGCCATGACCCAGTGAAGGTCCCGGACCACCTGCGACGACCACGCGCTATGACCGGAGCACCCCATGGGGTGGGACATCGAAGGAAGACCTGATCATCTGGTGAGGTGTAGGGGGCACCCGTATGGGCACCTGTATCCTCTCAAATCGGTGGTGACCCATGGTGACCCCTTTTGGAAGCGGGACCTATAAATATGATGTTTTATATATATATATATGATTATATATGTATGTATACAATGTATACTATAAATATATATTGCATATAGGGACCTTTATTGATCTTTATTGGAGCACTTGTTGGACCTTGGCCTTCCGACGCGGAGTCGGAGCTGCGACGGCCTTCCGGGAAGAGGTGAAGGTACCCGAGGGAGGGGCGTCCGCCCCTTGCCCCAGTTCTAAAGAGATCAAAGAAGAGGCTGTCCTTTTTGTTGCAGCTTCCTGAGGGCTTGCTGTGATCATTTGATGATCTTTGTATCACATGCCTGTCCGGAACATGCTTTTTGCCTGTCTGTTTCTCTCGATCTCTGTGTCGCCTGCTGCTGGAATTCTGTGGGCGTCGTCCCATTGTGCGCTGCATGTGGTGCAGCCATGGCATCGGTTCTCTCGTGATCACACAGCAATGAAGGCCCTTCCCAAGTGCTCATGCCTTACAGAGAAATGGTCTAAATTCAGGACCACTTGCTCCTCTTCTTCTTCTTCTTCTTCCCTGAGCCATGACCTCGTTCGTCGCTGTTCGTCCTGGTTCATGGCGCCCCAGAGCTTCACGTCTCTGTTCGGCTTTGTTTTGGAGGGGAAGTGTTTGGGTGGTACAGTGGAGCAAGCGTGGCCAGGGGCAACAAGGTCACAATTTCGTGCATCTACCTGGATCTATGCCCTGAACCGTAACGAAGGTTTTTAGTCCGTGTGCTACTTGTGTCATTTGCTGCTTTGTGCTGCAAATGCGACATCTACATGGTTCAATTACTCAGGCATGCGAGCATGCAACGCTTTGTCGCACAAACTGCTCCATCTACAACTGATTGCAATTGTACAAGTTGAATGGCACCTTGTCCGTACTCCACATGCATTGGTCTCCTGAAATCTGTCAGAAAAACGACGTTCAAACAGGCCGAGTGTACCAACAGCGATCCTGACACAAGCAAGCACGTAAACTGCAGCGCTGCAGTGATAGTCTTCTTCGGGAGTTGAGAGCACACATTGTATCCCTGTTGCACCTGGAACGACTATGAAGTAAGGAGGGGGCAACGACTATCCTGATGTTGGCAACTTGAAACCATCCAATCTTAGCAGCAATATTATCTTGCAACCGATGTATTCTCTTAGTAATGTGGCGCATGTCTCTGAATTGCACAAATCTTGGATACTGCTGGCAAGTCCTTCGAAACATACATTATCCACGCCTTGTCCATCTTCACATGCTTTCAAGCATGCTTGGATTGCCATGCTATTGGGGCGTGCGACCTGGCAAGTGACATCTTGTGACATCACTGTTTAAGCACTAAATTATGCACAAGAGTCTTATCCGAGAAGTGATCCGTCTGCCAGCCAGCCTGCGCCGCAGGGCGCAGTGTCTTCCAACCAACCTCTCCAATCTTGAAGGTCCGTGTGCACCCCGATGAGCGCTGATGAGCAGCTGAACACCAGCCAATACCCTGCGCCCGGAAAACAGCGCAGCAAACGGAAAGCGCCTGTGACAGCATCTCCAGAAAGTACAAGGACGCGGCCCAACCTGGGAAAAAGACCCGATGACGACCATTGGAGAAGACACACCAGTAGGTGAAAACCATCGAACACCCTCAAGGCTTTTCTTCGTCCACTGAGATCATGAACCTCCATCTTTTCTTCGCGGCCCCTGCCGTTTGCCGCCAGGATCAGCAGCTTGGATCTTGGGGGGAAGACACCCAGGAGATAATCCCGTGCAGTTGGCCGAACCTGGCAGCCTTGCAAATATATGATTCCCTCCCAAGAGATGTCGCTGGTCGAGAACACCCAAAGAATCCTCACTTCTAGTAAAGTTGCCGCCCCGAGTTCTTCGCTCCCTCCTGGCGGCACTCTTTTCACCCTTCATTCCCTCCCCTTCTCCGAAGCTTCGCCGCCCTCTCCACCGTCTCGATCTCCGCGCTCCGCTTGGACGACCCCGTCTCCGCGGCTCCACTCCTCTCCACCGGCCCCAGGTCGCCCACGACCGGCGCGGTGGGGGTGAGCGCCATGCGGCGCACGGTGTCGGCCAGGTCGTGCGCGAAGTTGGTGGGCCAGTCCCAGCCCCAAGCGGAATCGTGGTGGAAGATACGGAAGTCCCAATCATCCAGCTGGAGCTGATCAATCCTGGGGGTCGTTGAGGTACCCAAGAGTGAGTGAGTTCAGACTCACACATGCGGGGGTGAGTGTTCAGCTTTGGCTTTGGTAAGTTAAGACCACCGTCTGAGTCTACAACAAGTTCTTGTTCAATCATGTTCAAGCCTGTCCCTACACAGCTACATCCTCCTACTACTGTATACCACATGTTAACTCTCAAAAGGTCACATGCACCTGTGGGAGAATGACGGACCTGTCCTCAAGTTCAAGTGGCTGTAGGCAGTGGAGTACCACCGACTGGGAGGAGCCGCCTCGCGCACTAGGTGACGATAGCCCGGTGGCAAGCTGTCCACCATTGCAGAGACGATGTTCACATAAACCTGTCGGTGTTCACATCAAGATGTGGCAAACAAAAGGAAAACAACACAAGGAACACCTTTCAGAGCATTCATTGTAAAAAATAATCCCAACCCGACCCAAACCCAACAGAACTCAGAAGTCAAACGATATAGAACACCCCATATAACCCCGGCGAAAAAGATCAAGCATACAAACCCGAAGTAGTGTGGAGATCTGGAGATCTCTCAAATTCAACGGAACTTCTACGATCTTCCACCTAGTTCCGGAGCCTCCTTCCTTTGCCCGTGGTTCTATTAGGGTTCAAGTGGCTGCAACAACTCAACATTTTGAAAGGCCAAGAAATAGGCGTGGCATTGTTGAAGATACAGAATGATTGAGCCCTGGGACGCTCTATGCCCCAAAACCATGGGTGTCTAGTGGGTCATAGCGGGTCGAACATTCAAGGCTCCCAAAAGCTCAAGGGTCGCACCACCTGGGAGATTGGGGGACCCACGCCCGCATCCCGCCAAGAAGTGCGTTCCAAGTGGTTGGGGGACTCCTGTAGCTCCGTCTGCATGCCCTAAATATACTACAAGTACGGACGGCAGCTCCCTCCCAAACAGGAGCTGCTGTTTCTGGGGGTGAAGAATGTGAAAGCTCAAGGACTGTCCAATGCCAAATGCTCTGCCCAGGAACACAAAGTCCAAACTCGAACGGTTCTGGTGCTCGCCAGTCACGTGCAAGCCGTGCAGAATCAATGAGTTTATGCACCTCCCAAATGTTTGCCGTGGCCAAATCGCCAGCATCAACCGCAATGAGGCGTGCCTCGCTGAGAAAACCCACCATCTGCCCTTGCCCAGGGCCATCACGACAGGAGGCCTTCAGAATCAACAGCATGCGCGGCTGCTGCGGGAACAAACGAAACATGGTGCACATGATGGCCGTGAGCCATGCGAGGTCCACGGAACAGCCAAAGCAATGTCGAGCCGCGAGGCGCAAGGTGCGGGTGACGTTCGGGTGAAAATAGATGCGACGAGACTGGCCAGCACGCCTGCCCCAATCATCACAAATGGATTCATGGTACAAGTCATCATTGGGCTCTGGCAGGTTTCCTGGCTTACAAAGTGAACGCCACAGCCTACGCTGCAGCAGTGCCAAAGGCTCTGGTGTTGGGCCCAGTTCCTCCTTGGCAGCCGATGAAGGGCCACCCTGAGTTTCACGCTCCTCGTGGTAGAAGCGCAATAAGTCAGCAAAGAGGGCTTGGCCTGAAAGACCATCAGAGTATGCATGCGTGATGCTGCAATAGATGTACCAGGCCACCTCGGAAGCTGGTTTGGACAAGGCCGCTTCAATGGCACTATGCCCAGCCGCTGTTCCATGGAACAAAGGGGCTACGGCCACATCAAAGGGCCAACGCCTTGGCTTCAAAAGGTCGTCAAAAACTGAGTGGATGTACTGGTCGTGGCTCGCCCAATCCCAGCGAGGATCTCTCACTCGACCATCCACCAACGGAGGCACCCGTACTTCCAAACGGGGCGCTTCCTCGCTGCGCGCGACACGCGTCCGGGGCCAGAGCGCGAAGAGGGCCTTGGTGTGTCAAGGTTGAGTCTGAAACATGAAACGACGAGGAGGTCCAAGCGGGGGTGGAATGTACACCACTCACTAAGTGGAGAAGGATGAAACTCTTGGAGGCGATTTGCTTACTGTATATAATTCTATAAGAGTTCCATTATTTTCCCCATTCCGATTCACTATCTAAGCCACACCCAACCGCCAAACACTTCGCCCAAATGGCAAACCATCCTCTCCCAAGGCACGGAAGCCATCACTCGCTCCCAACAGTCCGACCGTCGCCCCACCGCGCGCCAGAGTTGCCACAGGGCCGCCGCTTTGTCCATGGTGTCGCGCAGCGCTTCGTCCGGCGTCTCCGAGGTCCGGAGCGCCGAATGCTGAGCGACGCAGCGGTCCACGGCCCGTTGGAAGGCGTGGAGGTCGATGGGAGCGTCGACGCGTAAGCACCAGTCCACGGGATGACGGGGGAACTGGAGGAGAAAGACTCGAAAGGTCTCGCCTGAGAGAAAAAGACATCACGTCCCCCTTACTCTCAGTGGTCTGCCGTTCGGCATTTTGTAGCATGTTTTAAGGAACAACAAAAGAATGTAAAAGCAAACAAATATATTTAAATTGAGAAACTGCATCGCAGCAAACTGGTACATTGGCCAGATTGCCAAAAGACATCGATTCCTTTTACAATGACTTGAAGTAAATTTAAGATTTATATTTTTTACGGGAAAAAACGTTAAGACTTATACAACAAAAAACGCATCTTTTCTGGAACCAACCTTTATATATTTTTGGCTTCGGGCCGCCAAAATGATCTTTATGACTCATGAGGGTTGGTTTCATTATTCTATAAGAGAAGGTTCGACATTTTATGGGGGAACAAGTTTGGGGGAGAACATAAAATACTATATATAGTTAACCACTAGGTTAAGACAATATAATTTCGATTGTAAATTTGAGAACAAAAATGAAACACATTGCAAAACACACATATAAACCTAGGACCTAGTAGTATCAAAAAGTCCATCTACGATAGATTGCATGGGCATCCGCGCGCTTGATGACCTGCGCCGGCGCACAGCTAACGCGCACACGCACACACTGTGAGCCGCCTCGTGGAGCTAGCCAATGCGAAGAGCCAAAAGGCTATGCTTTGACCAGATATTCGGATGATTTCCTGTGGTCACACTAAGGGTTCTCACGATAGCTTGGGATCCAGCTAATTCGCTGCTATGTATGGCGCGCTCACGGCTCATGGCTCTGGAGATCTTGAAAGTGCATTTCGACTGCACAGCCTCGCACAAACTGCTGGGCCCGAGAGC